ATTACTAAGAGGCTGTTTGGTTGGCTTTCCATCAAGTCCAGTACGGATAAAGTTGTTTGTGCATATTAATCTGTCTGTATAGGTTCAGAAGGTTTTTGTTAGGAGAGTTTTTTCATAGACGGAGTGAGAGTGTTTTTTTTAATTTGGAGGGGCAGGTTTGGAAAAAACTTGGCTTTATGCATAAAAGCCTCAATAGAAACTTACTAAATAAGTTAACTTCTATCATTAAGCCTCTACCAAACAGCCATTTATAGCTGACCAAATAAGTTGGGAGCCTCTTTCAGCTCATTAAGCTGCTAGCAAACAGATCCAATTTCTCTCTAGTCTATCTCACTCTATGACTCTATTCTAGAACATAACACCCTAGAGAAGAAGAAGAAGAAGGCTTGTCATCATCTTCCCCAATTTCTTCCTGCATTTTGTTGTCAAAACCAAATAGTGTCCCGTGTCCCTATCAAGAAACAAAAAGGGGTCCGACAGGACCATTTCTTACATCGAAAATCTACCTTTGTAATCCTATTTTCTAGCTTCATGTAGCTTGATTGATAATGACATGCCCTTTTGCCAATTTGAAACAGTTAAAATAACCGCATAGACATGGTTAAAAAGTGGTGCAATGCCATCTTTTCATCCGAAAGATGCATCCTCTTGTTGTTTTGTAATATAATCGGTGTCTTGAACAAAATAGCACACTAACGAACTGGCAATGAAGAATAAGAAGAGAAGTTCAAGAAAACCTCATGACCACCATAACGGCTTTGATTGTCAGCGAATCCAGCATTGCTGTCATCTTCACCGGCTACTTGCGTTCGACTAGCAGGTTTCTGGAACACAGTTTTATTAGGGTTTTGGAATTCGTATGTTCATGAATTTCCTTTTGCTGAATTAAGGGGTCTTCCAAAATCTTTGGAGAAACGAGCCCAACATTTATCAATGAAATGAACAGGGCTATTTCAATATTTTTGAAGTTTCTTACCCCATGTTTATTAAAAAAAATTATAAATTAAAATAAAACAATATTTTAAGATTGACACTTTTTACTTAAATATAATTAATTATTAAATTAGTTAATGCAATCTTTAATCTGCGGATATAAATGATGCGAGTCAAACTCGAGTATCACTGTACTCGACTTGAACTTGAAACCCAATTTCCAAGTTTGAACTCGACTTGAAAACTCGCAATTAGTAAAAATTAAAGCTCGATTCGAACTCGATAACTATTTCTCAAGTTCGAACTAAGCTCGAAACAATCTCAAACCAAGCTCCCCGTTGAAATTTATGAAATTTATAAGGTTTTTCTCTTATAAATTTTAAAACTTAAAAGTGTTTTCTTAGTTTTTATAAAACTAAAGAGATCGACTTCAAACTTCATCGTCAAAAAGACAAAGTTATAATTTCCATTCACATCTCTCTCTTTTTATAACATATTTTCTCCCTTTTTTTACCATCTATCTTTCAATGTGGAATAATTTCACTAACTTTTCTTATAGTTTTTCTTTGTCTTTTTTAATTATGATTTTAATAAAAATAATAATTGATTAATTTTTATAATTAAAAAATGCATAATTCTGTTTAAATATCTAAAAGTATAAGACATTTTTATGATTTATATTTTACAAATTTTATCATAAAAACTTATTATATTTTAAAACTAATTACATATAAAATAATCGAGCATCTCACGAGCTTGAGTTCGAGCCAAGTCTATTCGAGTCGAATGTTGACCGAGTCGATCTTGAGTAGCTTGTGAGTTGTCTCGTATCATTTACACCTCTACTTCAATCAATTCTCTTATAATCACCTCCGATTTGTCTTTAAATCGAAAAGATTGGCATATATGAATTTATCAATTGTTGTTTTTGAAAAACTCTATCTCGATCAGATGGTCGAATTCTTCCTCAACTCTCAACTTTTTTACATGTTTTCTAAAAAGTTACAGTGCTATGAATAAAGGTACTTCATATCACGATGAATGAAAACAACAAAATTACAGGTAAGACTGCTCGTCAAACCTGAAAGGAAGAAACAAAGAACACGAAAGATGAAAGATTATTAAACAAGATCGTTCTTGATGATTCGGTCATAAAATTAGTTATTGGGGAATTAAGATGAATGAAACTAGCAGGTTATGAGAGGTCAACGTCAAATTAGAGATTTCAGATTCTAAGGAGAAGCGGGTGTATATTTACGGTCGTAATTAGGACTGAAGAATCATCAAATTTTACATAAGAGATAAGGAAGTAGGGAAATCAACTAAAACTGTTAAACCTTCATTTTTTTGCTTAAATGGGCTAAAATAAGACGGAAAAGGCCAAAGGAAGAGCTAAAATGTAGGCTAAATCTCAAATAGGTGAAGGATTGTGCGACAAGTGTAAGAAAATATATGAACTTTTGATCATTTTTAATCTCATGACCACCTATGAATTGTGTTTTAGAAGAGATATGATCCAGATGCATATCGATGTACCTCATTAATGTTGACATTCAATTAGGATTGATCCAGATGTGGAGATCTCTTCTTACGTTTCTTAATATAACATTATTTCTCGCAGTAACTCAACTCATCCCATATATATATATATAGAGAGAGAGGGAGAGAGAGAGAGAGAGAGAGAGGGAGGGAGGTTCAGGGAAATACCTCAAAGAAAATGAAAAATGAAGAACACTTTGATAAACGTTCATTTAAATTGTATGCACATGTGCATACCAGACAAATTGCTTACAACTTGCCTGTATGTATATATGCATACGGTCCAAGTTATCAGAATGTTTCTTAATTTTTTTTATTTTTTTTGAGTTTTTCCCCTGAATTTGGCCTTATATGTATGAGATTTATTTTGCAAACCATCCATTTCATACAAAACTTACAAATTAATCACATCCATTCATTTTTTTTTTAATGAAAGACCAAGATTAAAACAAACTAGATAAGTAAAGAAAAAAATCATATTGGAGGCATGGAGGGGGGAAACGAATTAGAGTTGTTATACATATGAACCTGATGCAATCATATATGATATATGAACTTGTTTCATTACAGCTGTTAAACATATGAACTTGTTTAATTACAAACTGTTATACAATTCATATAAATATAAACTTGTTTCATTACAACTGTTATACATATGAACCTAATGCAATCATACATGACCCTGTTTATTTGAACAGTTTGAGTATGTTTAATTGGAAATTAGTGGCAACTTATTTAAACGAAATTATTCTACATTTCTTAAATATATGACGAATTTTTTTTTTTCAAAAAAATTAATGGATACCTCAGTTAAATATTTGCTAATATTGTGCTAATCAATATAGGGTTGGGTTCATGTGAGACCAGACTGTTTTCGTGAAACCACATTTTTACACTTGAAACTTCATAGCAAAAACACTGTGAAAGTTTAAAAAAGTCGAACCTTCACAGCAAAAACACTGTAAAGGTTTAAAAAAGTCAAACATTCACAGCAAAAACACTGTGAAGGTTTAAAAAAGTCGAACCTTCACAGCAAAAACACTGCGAAGGTTTAAAAAAGTCAAACCTTCACAGCAAAAACATTGTGAAGATTTAAAAAAGTCGAACCTTCACAGCAAAAATGCCATGAAGGTTTAAAAAAGTCGAACCTTCACAGCAAAAACACTGTGAAGGTTACCTTCACAGCATTTTGCTGTGAAGTTTCAAATGTAAAAAGCTGGTCTCACAAAAACAGACTGGTTTCATGTGATTCCAAGTCAATTAATATATCATCTATATTTATATAAATATTATGTTGTTATCAAACTTATCTATTAATATTAAATAATTACCAAACATAATTATTATAAATTCAAATTACCATAATATCATTATAAATAAATAAAAACAAATAGATTTATGTGATTTATTGTAATAAATTTGTGAGGTTTGTACAAGACTTGGGATCATGTGAGACCAGCCTGTTTTCGTGAGGCCCGTGAGACCAACATTTTACACTTGAAACTTCACAGCAAAATGTTGTGAAGGTGACTTTTTAAAACCTTCACAGTGTTTTTGCTGTGAAGGTTCGAATTTTTTTAAACCTTCACAGTGTTTTTGCTGTGAATGTTACGTGTAAAAATATGGTCTCATGGGTCTCACGAAAACAGGCTGGTCTCACGTGAACCCAACCCATTTGTACAAATTAAGAGGGTTGTCAATGATTATATATGCTCTGGCCGTTAAAAGTGATTCTCAAAATTTTCCAAAATAAATATTATTAAAATCATATTTAATAGATATTTTCTTGAGTAAATTATGATTTTTGTCCTCATGGTTTGTTAATAATTTTTATTTTAGTCCCTATGGTTTAAAATTTACAAATTTAATCCCTATAATTTGTAATTGATTACTATTTTTGTCTGAAGATAATTTTTTTTACCTTTAAACATAAGGAACAAAAATAGTAAAGAATTGTAAACCACATGGATCAAAAACAGTAATAAATTGTAAAACAAAAATAGAAATGAATTATAAAAAATAGAGACGAAAATCGTGATTTCTCAACCACAGGGATAAAAACGTATTTTTTAACAAAGAAAACAAAAAACGTGATTTACTCTATTTTCTTTTTTATAAATCCTATTTTCGTTCTAATAAATTTTATTGACAGAAATATAATAAAACATATTTCTTGACATGCAATTATTTTTGGAGAATTTGGTTTCTACAGTGATTCATGGGTTGCGTTGATTGGATTAAAGACATTTGAACAATCTAATCAAATGCTTACGGTTTGAAAAATCTCAACCTAAACCATAGAGGTTGGTCGGGTTTTGTACATCAAAACATTCTCTTACCTTCGAATATGTTTTCTTTAGTCTACTCATAATTTATTTTTCATCATCAACCATTTTTTACAACTTATTCATACTTCTTTAACCTTAAGTATATCACATTCAATTAATTTTTTCAATTTGCACATATAAATGTTCATAGTTATTGAACACACACGAAAGTTCATTTTTAACGACACGATTATAAGCGTCTCCCGTAGAGAATAATATACAACGACAATAACGGGCATTTATGTAACGTGCAAGTCCATGCAACTTTATTATTTCAAAACGAACAATTCGAAATACACGAACAAATAAATTTGAAAATATTCGAGTTCCAAAGAGGCATCTGGGCATGATGTTGCAGCTATACGTTTGGAAATGTAGTCAGCCGCTACCAAGTCCCGATCTAGACGTTGTGATTTATCTATAATCTTGGCGCAGGACGAGCAAGAGGTGCATCCCACTCGGTCACAATGTGGTTACGGGTGATCTGTTTGAGCGAGGTGCAACCACTTAACGCCATCGTTAGCTCAAATTCATCGCGTAACATTTTAAGTACGTTTCTCACTCCAGCTTCTCCTTCAGCGGCTAAAGAAAACACCACGGGTCGTCCAATCTAAAATTTGACAAACTAATTAGTCCATTTGCTAAGCACGTTGTACTAAAAACCAAACGGGCCCAGCAAATCTGCTCAAAAGCGGAGTCTGAGATAGAATGTAAGCGGATATTTTCTAGTTGTTTTCGTGACTTTTTGAAAAGATCGACTTTTTGAACCATTGTACTTAACCTTCCGTTTCATGGTAGAATTATAAATGCAAAAACGACCATTATATCACATTGTCGCACTTACAAAAATGCCAGAAGCTCCAAGCGCTAGTGCCTTGAAAACGTCTGTTCCACGGCGAACCCCACCGTCCAAGAAAACCGGAACACGGCCTTGTGCAGCTTTCACAACCTGAGGTAGATGTTACCAAAGCTCCTAAAACATTACAAAATAAACCAAACCAAACCAAACCAAACAGACCTGGTAGTCAAGTTCCATACCTCTTCCAAAGCCATGATTGTGGCCGGCACGTAGTCAAGTTGGCGAGCTCCATGATTAGATACGATAATACCCGCTGCACCAGCTTGAATTGCTAACCTTGCTGCATGATTAACGAACAAAAACATGTTATGAAACACGAATCAGAGAAAATTTACGAGGGTTCTTGTCGTTCTTACTGTCTTCAGCAGTGATCACACCCTTCACCAGGATTGGCATGGTGGTGATGGTCTGAAGCCACTTTACATCCTTCCAGCTTAAGGTCCGATCAATCTGACCAGCAACATAAGAAGCTAACCCCGAGTCGTTAGCCTGCATTCATTGCCACGATGCGATTAGAGTTAGTTCGACCACCTCAAACTGCTAAGGCTTTATTTAGGGAATTCTATTTCGACTTACTTCATCCATCTTGCCAAGGTCCAAACCCTCAAAGTTCTTCAACGTCAAAAATGGTGGTAAAGTAAATCTGTACAAGTAACGGATGGAGACGGTGAACTAATGAAAACATATGTAACATTCCTTTGAGTAATCTCCACCATTGTTGTTAGGATATGTGAAGTCCTTTGAATTTCCTCTAAAAGAGAGTTATAGAGAGGGGGAAGGTTCTTACACACACACATATAGAGACGGGGGAGGTTCAAGGGAAACCCCCCAAGAAATGAAAAACTAAAGAATACCCTGGTACATCATGCACATGTGCATTTAAGTAATTGAGGTTGTTTCTTGGTTTATATGCATGTGTGCATGTTATGCACATGTGCATACCGGACAAAATGTTTACAAATTACTTGTATGCACATGTGCATACAAGTCTAGACAAATGATTACCAGGGTGTTGCTGAGTTTTTCATTTTTTTGCGGTTTTCCCATGAACTTGGCCCTATATATATATAGTAATGTCTAGCCGATGTGGGATTCCAACACGCCTCCTCAAATGGAGAATAGACGGTGCCTGCAAGAACGGAGGGGAAAGAGTGCCGAGTCCCTAGGTGGTACTAGACCGGCTCCGATACCATGTTGGATATGTGGAGCCCATTTGAATTCTCTCTAAAAGAGCCCTTGTAGAAAGAGGGAAGGTTCCTACATATATACAAGTTTCATGGTCTGTGTGGGACTCCAAGAATAATGTATGCATGCATTTTACCTGTTTTTGATGTCAGCCTCTCTACGTCCAAGCCTTGGTGTATCAACCGTTAGAGCAATGGCCTTGAAGCCGGCACTTTCGGCTCTTCTCACAAGCTGAGCAACAACGTTCCTATCCTTGTACACCTGATATCAAGGAGACAACCCGTCAACCACAACTTAAATAAACAGTTATGACAGTTAAGATCAATAAGATAACGGTTTTCCGATTTCATTCACTTTCTTTTCGGTTTTCTTGATATGAATGGAGTGTTTCTTTGATGCAAGTGTATCACTAACATTCACGAGTTAAAACATGAATCTTGGCAACAGATGTGGATTCGGTCAAATTGTAAAATATCGTGAAGGTGGTTGCTTACATAAAGCTGGAAGAAGCGGATTCCGGGTCCTGTTGAAGCAACTTCCTCAACACTAGATGTCGCCCATGATGACAGTGTCTGCAGTACGATTCAATAATTAGCATAAATGCATTTCCCATTTGTAATACAAAAAGTCATGGAAGTTTGGAAACACGAACCATGATAGTTCCAGCTGCAGATGCAGCTCTTGCAGTTGCATACTCACCTGCATTGAGCAATGGGATTAGATATGGAGTTTTAGATTTCTAAATGAAGCAAAACTTGGCTCAACTCAGCTCTATCACCTGTCTATAAACTCTTGATCAACCTGATTTCTTAAAGATTAAAGTGAATTCATTACATTCTTTGTGTTCTAGGTACTTAGAGACCAATCTAGGTGATACGAATTCATCGTCATCACTAATAATCGTCTTTAAATGAATATACCCAATAGCATTGAGGATTCATAAACATAAGGCTACTGGAAGAGAATGAAAAGCACCTGTATATCCCAGAAACTTAAGCTTGGGCTGGTTCAAATGAGAACGGTAAATATTTTGAGAACGTGAGAACCAACTATTAATGCTTTATATATGATGAATGTAGTAATAAATATTCATAATGAATATACATGATATCTATGAATGTATGATATCCATGATTATTCATGGTTTTCATTATGAATATGTGTGGTTCGATCATCTATGCATTCAAACTGTATTGACTTCCAAGTTCACATCATCGGAGATCCATCTGATTATGAAGTTCTAGGCAAATATTGGATTCTAGTCCATTATGCTTCCAAAGTATTTTAACATGTAAAGATATTATATCAAGCTCCAACAGAAACACAAAGGTTCAAAGGGATTGTTTATCAAAATCTAATTGGTTGTATGCTTGTAAACTAACAAGGATGTTGATCAATGTAAGACTGGTGAAGGATCGTGTGCAAAGGGAAGTTACGGTGAGAAGCGTAAGTAGATATCTAAACCCTTGATCACTTTTAATCTCATGCCCACCCATGAATTGAGCTATAAGAATTGATCCGGTGCATCTCACTAATGTTGACATTCAATTAGGATCGATCCAAACGTGGAGATCTCTTATTACGCTTCTCACTATAACTTCACTTCTTACCGGAATCCAACCCTATAAGACTCGAGTTGGAATGAGTATATCTTGAAGAGATGAACAAACTGATACCGTAAACATAAAGCGTTAAGTATTTCAGTAGGTGAAAAAGTGTTTTACCTTCAGGATGAGCCATCTTCTGCATGGCAGTTGGAGCAATCATAATAGGCATTGATATCTTGAATCCCAAAATTGTGGTGGCCATATCTATCTTGCTCACATCAATAAGAATTCGCGGCCTAAACCTGTTTAAGGGACATATTTGGAAAAAAGTGGAAAACCCCCCAATAAGCTATCTGAAGTAGATCAAAAAGCTAGTTTATATCTTTATCAAACAGGGCTTTTCAAATAAGCTAGCTTATGGTTGCCAAACATGGACTTACAAGATTCTTGCGAAGGCGTTTCTGTTCTCTTCGAGAGTCCATTGGTCCTCGGCACCAGAAGCATAGTAGTCATAGATCATCTTAGGCAACTTCTCTTTTGCAATTGCCTGATACTCGGTAACATTGGTTACCTCCATCTCTCCTGTCTACGCCAGATGCCTTTTTCCAAGAAATCTTGATTCAGCACCAAAAATACAGAAATTAGATTGCCATATTCATAATCTACAATTAACCTTCCAACTATAAACTCTTTCCATATCAACAAAATTGACAGCTTAAGGTCTTAAAACTATGATCCACATGAAAATGAGTGTTCTTTTGTTGCGTTCTTGTAAGTATGTCAAATACAATGATTCAAAATGCTAATTCAAGATCATTAGTAAGAAACTTTAACCAGATACATATATAATTAGCATTTATACATAAATTTTGCAATTCAAACATACCCACTATAGAATTTACAGATAAAGATTGCAAATCAACATCTTAAAGATGAATACACAAGCAAAGATCAGGTTAATATCAACTCATTTGAGCTCTGACCCACACCACATCAAGTTGAAATAGATAGTTAAAGATGGAACAAGCTCTCAATTCAATAACATAAATGATGTGAGAAGGGTATGGTTTCAAGAGAGCATAGCATTAGCAAGAACCAGAAGCAAACCTTTTGGGCAGTTGGGTATTTCTGTTTCTATTGAAAAGAGTGAGCAAAAACCCAAGTGGGAAAACAGTGTAGATAAGTAATAGAAGTATTAAAAATTGAAGGGAATAAAAGACAAAAACAGGTTAGAGATAAAGTAGAGATAGAGAGAGATCAGAAGAGGGTGTGTACCAAATGAATTTAAAGAAACAAATCAAGAAAATGGGGATGACAGACAAAAATAGGGATGGGCAATTGGAGGTGAGGAATGGATACCAAATCCATTTGAAGGAAGGCAACTGGGTGGCTCTCCTCCACATGATTGATTGTGTGTTTCATAGTTTTTTTCTTCATTATCATCATCCTATTTCTTCCCCAAATTGAAAAGATGAAAAAGAAAATCAAGATTTTTGGAGTCGTTCCTAAAAGTCGCCATCTTTCTTTCCTTTTCTGGTGTTCATCTCCACTCCATTATAGAACAGGAAGAAGATAAGATCGTTTGTGGCAAATTTGCCGTGAAGACAATGAATTACTGTGAAGATGAGATAGAGGGTCAGCTTATTCATTCTGCATGCTCACTATTGATTTCCCCAATTTTCTATAAATTTACTATTTTTGACTTTTGCCTCTCAATATTTCGTAATAGTTTGATAAAGATCCTTCCAATTTTATCCGGGGGTGTTTGAGATTACTTATAAAAATAATTTATTGATTTATTTTGGTATGACATCGGTAATAAATATTTTTGAGTGTTTAGATAAACAATTTATACAAGTACCAAACTGATAATAAGAAATTTTTGAAGAAGTTAAATCCTTCTGACTTATAATAAGTTGATAAGTGATTTTGTAGAAAAACATAAGTTGTTTCACATAAGTAATCTCAAACACCATAGATTTTTAAATGATTAAATGTATGATTTTAAAGATAAAAGAATACATATTCATCAATGTACAATTACATACAACAAACCTAAGATGTCTCATGATTTATATGCATGACAGTGTATATATATATAAAACAAATTATTTATATGCATACGTAAATATTGAATAGTTATTAAAGTACTTTTCGATTTTTTCAATTTTTTTGGTAGTTTCTCTCTCTATCTATATATATACTACAATAATACTCGTAGAATGCAACGAGATACATTTTCATTTTAATATTTTTTTTTATTTTTTTGTCCATGTTGATATAATACAGTTTTACATGTTTTTGCTTTTATTTTTCAATAAAATATAAATTTAAAAATATTATAAAAATATATATATATATCAATATTAATATCAAAATTAACTATTTAAAAATTCTTCTTTTTTTTTTGATATAATTTAAGTAATTTATTTTTGATTTAATAATATAATTATTCATAAAGATAATAATTAAATATTTGTTAGAAGTAAATGTATATCTAATTACATTTAAAATGAGATGTTTATCTTATATTTATATTTGACTCTTGGATTTATGATTTATATTATAAGTCCAAATGGAGAGAGATTTTTTTTTGATCAACCTGCATATCTAATCCGCTATGCGAACCGACTAATTTCAGGACGACCACCTGTTTTGTAGATAGTCCAAAGTCACCGCATTTGAACCTCTATAGCCACAAGAGTATTTTTATTTCCCCGTGGATTTAAATTTGGGACATCATGATACTTTTGATCTTTGGAGTTAAGTTCAAACCAATCAAACACCGATGTTCTGGTTTCAAATGGAGAGAGATTTATGTTTTAAAAGGAAGAGAAATAAATGCGATAATTACGGAAAAGTTTGCAATGTACGAAGTCAACGCTATTTAAGGGTTTGGATTAAATTAAACCAAACAATCCTGCAATGTTTATAGCCTTTTGCTTCCTTGTCTGGTTTTGGTTAATATGAGTTTTTTCAGAAGATCAATGCCATCGTTAACGACGACAGAGCATGTCAGAAATTCATCAAGACGACAGATGCTAACCTATTCCTACCTTCTCATCTACATTGCGCTTTCTAGTGGTCAGATCTTCTTCAACAAGGTTGGTTGTTTGTTTGTTTGTCATACATTTTTATTCCCAAATTTCGCATTTTTCTCATGTTTTCATACCATGAATTTGATTCCTCCAAAACATTTGGAATGCAGTGGGTTTTGTCGTCAAAGGAGATTAACTTTCCGTTTCCACTTGGGTTAACGCTACTTCATATGGTCTTCTCCTCCGTCTTATGTTTCCTACTCAAAGTTACCAAGGTAAAAACCATGCTCATGCTCCTTAATTTATACGAAACGCAATTATCTAATCATCTATGCCTTCCGTTTTCGCAGCTTCTGGATGTCGAACAAGGGATGACTTTCGAAATGTGAGCACACGTGGAACCCCTTTAATTCTCTTTTTGAAATAACGAGGTTCATAATATATAAAGGTAACCTTGGGGGCGCCAGCTAAACCTGCAAATAAAGGTTAGGCCTTGAAGCTCCTTCCCCCTCATAGGTTGCTTCAGGTCCTATGAGATTAGTCGAGGTGCATGCAAGCTGTGCGGATACCCATGGTTAATAAAACAAAAAAAAAAGAGGTTTTGATAGACCGTGTCTAGCCGATTTGGGACTCCAGCATGTACTTATTATATAATGTAGTAAATTCTTTATGTACAGATACACGACGTCGGTCTTTCCAATTGGTGCTATGTTTGCAGTGACTCTTTGGCTCGGAAACACTGCATACCTGTATATATCAATATCTTTTGCTCAGATGTTGAAGGCGATCAGTAAGTGTGCGAAATAAGTGAATCGTGCAACGCTTTCTAACGATTACCAACGGGTCGTAACTTCAATCTTTGTATTTGATTGGAATTTATGCAGTGCCGGTGGCTGTGTTCATTCTTGGTGTAGCAGCAGGACTTGAAGCAATGAGTTGCAGCATGCTGCTTATAATGTCTGTGATAAGCTTTGGGGTATTGGTGGCTTCTTATGGCGAAATCGACATCAATTGGGTTGGTGTGGTTTACCAAATGGGTGGTGTTGTTGGTGAAGCTTTAAGGCTTATTTTCATGGAGATTTTGGTGAAAAGGAAAGGGGTCAGATTGAACCCCATATCCATGATGTATTATGTTAGCCCTTGCAGGTATGTACCTTCATCTATAAGGGTGCCTTTGGTATCATAACAAGACAAATTGGCAAATTACTAAACTATCCATGTCAAATTAGAACTCTAAAAATCTTTAGAGAAAACCCTCTCACCGGTCTACCCACTCACATGTCTGGTCCAATCTTTTCCGGTCTTGTCTGTGTACCAAACGCACTTTTAAAGTTAGAGATGCGTTTGGTAGTTGGTACGTGGGAACAGACATGACAAAAACTTGTTGTTCTAAGGTTGTTACAAGTAACAGGAACAAGATTGACGGATTACTAAACTATATTAAATAAAACTCTAAAACTTTTCACAATTCTTTCATCTGCCTACCTCAGTACCATATGTCAAGTCCAGTCCAGATACCAAACGCACCCTAAAAGCTGCATAGTGTTTGGTTATTTGTTGGCCACCATTGCATGTTTATGTTCAGAGAATTTCTGCCCATGTGAGCAGAATCTTGGTTCGGTGTGCAGTGCTGTTTGCTTGTTTGTTCCATGGATCTTCCTGGAGATGCCAAGAATGGAGTCATGGAGCTTTCATCCTTTCGCTCTTACGCTCAATTCCCTCTGTACCTTCGCTCTCAATCTCTCGGTTTTCCTTGTCATACAACATACAAGCGCGTTAACCATCCGGGTTGCCGGAGTTGTTAAAGATTGGGTCGTCGTTTTGCTGTCAGCCATCCTCTTCGCCGACACAAAGCTCTCCATGATAAATCTCTTCGGTTATGCCATAGGTAATCTTATCGACCATGACCATCACTATAACAAGATTGGGTTTATACGATATAAAAAATGTCTAAGCGTCCATCTAATAGGATATTTTCTACGACTTAAAGTTCATTTACAAACTATAAATATTTTAAGAACCATTGGAACCAACTATTCATGATGAATATCTCTAAATACTCGTGATATTTATTATGAATTGAACATCTATCACATGAATAATTAGTTTTTACGGTTATCAAAATATTTACGGTTCTCAAAAGAGCCTGTGTACCGAAGGATGTAAACCTGCGATTCTCGATGCAGCCATTGCTGGTGTAGCTGCATATAATAACTACAAGTTAAAGAAGGAAGCCTGTGAAGGAAGTCCCACTGGATCCAAGCTTTCTCCTACAGGAAGAACTGCTTCTTCCCCGACGTCAGCTTCCGTTTAGCAGATTCGAATCTCACAATTATGTAATTAACCCCGTAGAAAGTTGAAAAAGTACAGATTACAAAATGTAAATGTAGCAAGAAATGCATCTGAAAATACAACAAATCCCGAGTCTTTATACAGTGCGACAATCTTTATCCATACAGACTCAAACAAGAACACATTCAAGTACGTAAACGCACACATCCATCTCACATACAACACTTAGAACACATCTAAACTTCGAATACTTGAGGAAAAACACATAAAGTTCAACAATTTGATGCACATAAAGTTCAACAATTTGATGAAAAACTACAGATTGCAAAATGTAAACATAGCAAAAGATGCTTCTGAAAATACAACAGTCGTTATATATGTGTGACAATCTTTAGCCATAGACGACACAAACAAGAACACATTTAAGTGTTTTTTATCAAGAAAACGACATAAACGCACACACCCATCTCACATACGACCGCTAGAACACATCTAAACTTCAAATACTCTAAAAAGACCACATAAAGTTCGACAATTTGATATGACCCGAGTTTCTACTCGTCGATTCCAAATCTTTTCCTCAAGTGTTGAACAAAGCCAAGGACCTTTTCCAACTCTGGAAGAGTGTTGGAAACACTCTCTTTGTTCTGAATACATCTTTTGACCCAAGCGATCAATTTTGGGCACTCGTGTTCGATGATCATGTTTCCATAGGTTTCGTAGGCTTGAAACCACGAATAAAACGGAATCAAAGAGACATCAAGATAGCCAAAACTCTCACCTCCAAAGTAAGGCTCGTCTCCGAGCGCTCCTTCAAGCAGTTTAAGGCAAGATATGAACTCTTTCCTGGCTGCTTCATGTTCTTCCCCCTTTGTTGTGTACAGATTCCTCCCAGCTTGGTATAGCTGCATTTCCATAACCAAACTCAAACTAAAGATCTTATGATTTAAGACCATTTTATTCATCAATGAAGAAGCATAGACTGTGAATTGAATCAGAACCCAAAAGGGTTCGTCATGTCTGAATTGAACATGTGACCTTTCTTGAAACAAGAATCCCAAATGCAAAGTCACACCCCCTTTTGTTCTACCCAAATGGGGTTAAAGTTTTTCAAAACCATGGTTATACTAATTATATGAGGCCTTGATCCATCACCATCAGCAGATGATGTTAGCTGAGGGATTTAAGCACGTTGGTTCAGACATGAACATGCTGTGTATTTTTGACCAAAATCGCTATGTCTCTTTACCAACTTGCTATACGGCTTAGGTCAACTAACATAGAAGACAGTTTGTGAGCAAATTGATAGATCTGGCTTAAAATTTGTTGAAAAGACAGTTTCAGTTGATTTTAAGACATCAGAAATCAAAACCTTTGCAAGCAGCTTAACCAATAAGCTTACATCTAAAACCCCATATAAGTCTATAACATAAACATGGAGTAATAGTAAATGAAAATGAGTACCTTCTTATCAATAAAGTCTGCCCAAAACCTAGCATGAGCTTTGGCATAAGGATCAGAAGGAAACAATGGAGCTTTATCTTTCCAAACTTCATCAATATACTCAACGATGATGCTGGATTCACAGACCGGTTTACCCTTGTGGATAAGAACCGGTATTTTCTTGTGAACCGGGTTGGATTCCAAGAGAAGGTGGCTCTTGTTCCTCAAATCCTCATCTCTGTACTCATATGGAATACCCTTTTCAGCAAGTGCTATCCTTACCCTCATCCCGTACATGCTTGCCCAGAAATCCAATAGAATCACTTCTTCTTCTTGTTTCGCCATTTTTCCTGATATTCAGTATGTGGAGTGGGAGTAGGCGATGTATATATATATATATATATATATATATATATATTCATATGTGAAGAGCCGGCCGATTATCTCTAAAAGTGGATTTTAAATGTTTATACAAGGGAAATAATATTTATAAAAAAAATTAATAATATAATCAATGTTATAATCTTAATTATATTTGTACGATTACTTCAACATGAATACTATGTTTTGAGTGGTCACAAATATAACAAGAATGTGGTCCATAGTTGATATTTTTCTTGAAAATATGCTCGAGGTTTTAAAATTTTAAATTATTGTTCTGAATACATTTTCTGTTTCGATTGAAAATTTGTCTTAGTTGTGGTCCACACCATTTTATTTATGACAATCTTAATCATTTAGATTTTTTTCTGTATATGATTAGTTTTTTCATAAGATTTATCATTGCGTCATACTGAAAAAAGAAATTATGGTTTTTTTTATACCAAAATCATTCTATTGTGTATCTTATTACCGATATGAGTTAGGTTCTTATAAGAATAAAAATTATAGTGAGAAAGATAAGAATGAATTTTCACCTTTCAATTAATCATAATTGATGATCAACATTAATACAATTAGGTGTGTTAAAAAACCCGACCAATCCAACACGAAATAAACTCAATCCGAAGCAAATCGATGTCTAATCGGGTTGTAAAATTGTCAAACCGCAGGAATTGCGTACTATTATTTGAACCCAACCCAATTCAACCCGATAAACCCGATATCCTTTTATTTTTTGGATTTAATATAATTGTTGAATTTTTATTAATATGTACATTATACAATTACACTATCATGTATGCTCTTCATATACACATATTTTCAATCTATTTACATTTTTATATAACTCATTTGTATATATGTTCAGTAACTGTGAACATATATATGTAAATTGAGAAAAATAACTGAATGTGATATACGTAAGAAGTATAGATAAGTTGGATTAAACGGTTGATGATGAAAAATAAATTATGAGTAGAGAAACAACATATTCTAAGTTAAAAGAATATTTAATTTACCAAATTATCAACCCGACCAACACGTACGAGTTAGGTTGGGTTGGGTTGCACTGTGGTTCGGGTTAGGTTGAGTTAAATTTTTTCAAATTGCAAGCATTAAATTTAGTTGTTTAAATGTCTTCAACCCAATCAAGTTAATCCATAAACACCCTAAATACAATACATAAAAATGTATCAAATTCATTCTCATGATAACACAATTCATAGAATGGGGTGAGAACAAAATGGTTTTTAATGTGTTATCACAAGAAGTGCCAAATTAGTTAAAAGAAAAAGACATAGCAAGTGAAATGACTAATTTGCCCTCACTACACATAAATGAATTTGTATGAATATGGGCATGGCACGAATACAAAGCTATAGGTTAATGACACGTGCTTCGTCATCATCTTTATTTTTTTTAAAGGAATCTTTATTTCTTTTTCATCAAATAAATTGTTTATTATTTTCAGATTTAATGGCGTCGGGAAACTTCGTGTACGTCCCTACCGACACATAAATGGAGAAGAGCCCAATACTTTTTATTAAATATTTGAATTAAATATACTAAGCATCGACACGTATTTATAAATTCATTTATTATATTATTATGTATCACATGAGACTAACTTGTTTTTTAAAACTCGTAAGATCATTTTTTTACAATTGAAACTTGATAACAAAACGAGTGTTTTTGTTGTAAATATTCGGGGTGTCTTTATCTTCACAACGTTTTACTGTAAAATTATAAGTATAAAAAAATGGTGTCACGAAAACAGTATGATCTAACGTAAAACCAACCCTTATTATACATGTTTTATTATAATTATATCTTTTTAGATTATTTTTAGAGTGAACTATAATTATCATCCCTATGGTTGTAAAAGATTGTAATTTTCAAATTATGATTTTGATGCATGTAGTTTGTAATTTATTGTTGTTTTTCGTCTTCGAGACTAAATCTATTAAAAATCATTTATTTTAGATCTAAGGGTATTTTATGCTTTTTGATTTCTTTTTCTTTTTGATTTATTAAATATTTTTTTGGTTTTCTTTTTGGTAGTTTAGTATTTTTTTTTAATTTAATACAACAATACATTTTTTAATAAGAGAATTAAATACATAAAAATTATAATGTTTTATTATTGGTTATGATAAAATGATTAAACGTTTTTAAAACAATTTGTTTTTTTTCATATTATTGGTCATGATTATAACCTTTTTTTTATTTGTGTTTTAAAAACATGTTCGATTATATGACACTTTTAAAAGAAAATTGTTATTATAAGTTTTTCATAAGGTATTTCTGGAAAATTACATTTTTACATGACCTGCATTGATGGAGGAACGTCGAATATGGGGTGAAAATGGTGTAAACTGTAAAGATTATTTATCTCCTTTGAACTCCATCTTCATCTTCATCCAGATCTGCTGTGGTGGGTTATCGTTGCCACCACCCACCAACTCCTTTTCAGGCATACGAGATCTGCTACTGGTCCCTATACTTCAATGGTTTTACACCAAAATGATTGGACCATTTTACCCATGGTTCTACCGGAGCTTTTCAATGACGTTGGTGATCAGGTGTCATTTTCAAAACAACACCCAAACCTAAGGGACGACATTTTGATTTATTAAAGTTCAGGTACAATTTTCAAATAAATCAATAAATCTTAAGGACCAAAAGTAAAGTTTACTCAAAGTTTTTTTTTAATATTTATGTAAATAAGGCTGTGTTTTGATCAAAATAAAAGTTATGATGAAAAAAGTAAGACATTTTTTAATTATTCCTAATTAAAAAGAATTATTAGATCAATTACATTCTAAAAAATAATTCATAAGTTATTTTAAAATTAAAAATAATCAAAAATTCAAATTTCTTCTTACACTTTTATTTTATAGGTGTTCTTTTGATAAATAATTAAATATATCATATTATATTATTTAAAGGGAAATTTATAAAAATAACCGGTTTACACAACCCTTTGCCACAAAATAACCACATTTTAGAGGTTTTGCCAAAATAACC